TTTTTTTACCATTTGTACTTCCACATATCAAAATTTTCTTACCATCTGTACTTCCACATATCAATTTTTTTTTTTGTAGATTTTTTAATCTTTTGTTTACTAATCGAGAATCAAGACCGAAACCTATACTACTTCTGAAATATCTGAGAGCTAGTTATTTTCTATTTTCTGATAATCATGATAGATACAAAACCAAAATCTGGACTAATTTCCAAAACATGTAGAAAACCCGATATTTTTGCCATTAAAAACATCTATCTACGATGACTAATTGACTAATATGGGATGTACATCGATTTTTCGTAGATGATTGAAGTCGATCCCTAACCTTAACTCACATAGCGGTCCTATAGTCACTCAACCAAACCACTTGACCAAATGCTCTTAGTTGAAGGAAACAATCATTTTTGCCATTTTTCCATTCAGAACATCTACAATAGTTAAATATAGTAATTGACATTGCAGTGAGATGATTCGACCTCTAGTCTCTCAATTTATAAGGTGACCATTCAATTATTAGACACCACAAGTGTTTTAGATTCTAATTATGACAGGTATAATATTCATGTGTAAGCTATTTTCTTTTTATTTATATGTTAATTTTGTAAGTAAATGTTTCGAATATGTTTTTTTTTTTGCTTACAAAGATACGCAATAGTCGATTTAAAAAAAAAATGAATTTAGTCGAATTTGAAAGAAAAAGAAAAAGGTTTTTTTATTTATTTAAGAGGGCTTACAAGTGCTTCATCGGATGATTTAGAATCCAAAACAGTCTTATACCCTTTGTAGATTACGTCTTCATCATCAGATTCAGAATCTGAATCTTCTTTGTCTTTCTCCTCCTCAAAATACTCACTCACACATGCTATATATGTATTGAAAAAAAAAAAATTACATAATGTATATGCATATAACTTTATACTCTCTATGTTTAGTGTTTTGGTTCAAGGAATATGTACCTTCAATAGAACGAGAGAGGCCTTCAAGCTTAGTAACGGTGGATTTGTGAAGGTCATCACCAGACCATATTGGAAAAACCAAAAGGCTCATGAAGAGGCAAATGCCGATACCAATAGCAATCGTATAAAATCTTTGATGTGCAATCTTGATCACAGTATCGACTCTATAACTCGATACTGTGATTAGATTAAATGTCAAAAGAAATACAAGCATACCATAATCGTAGTTTTTCTTTATGTACGGAACAAATCTCATGTATGTTATCGTCGATCCTGTTATACATATATGAAAACATATTATGCTTATAAATATCTTTAAATTATGAAAAATTAACACTTTTTAAAAGCTTTAGAAGCTTTTTCTTGGATAACTTTGAGTCTATGAGTCAAACAATAAAGTTAGATATATGAGGAAAAGAGGATGACAAACAAAAGAAAGAACGAAATGAGAGGTTAAATTATTAAAATGTGGATAAATAATCAAAAGATTTGCTTATATAAATTGAATGCTTTGACTGATAATGTGAATA